GGTTTTGTAAGGAAGTTTTGAGTTTGTGTCACATGGACTTACTGAGTTAGAAGTGTGTAAAAAACACTCCACCCAACCCGAAAAACTCTCAAAATTTATTACCCTTGACTCCGTGACTCCACCCTGCGTAGTCGTGTCCTCGTTTTGTGGATTTAGAATATGGTCACTCTAGGTTTAGGTTTATATGAGGGATTACTGACTGTAAAATCCACTCGCTTCGTGAGACTGGCAGCTTTCTGTAGAAAAACTGTGTGCATCTGCAAAATTCATACGTGTTTTAGGAATTTGTATACGGCCTTTTTTAGAGAGGACAGGACAGGAAAGGGGGCAGTAGGTCTGAATCAAACCTGTGCTAGTGTAGACTGCTAGGACATCTGAACCCCATCCAGGGGGCATTTTCAGAGACTGTCCAGATCCAATCCTTCAGAAAGATTTTTGTTAATCGACAAATTTTTGTGAAAAAGTTTCATTTCTATTGTTAGCTCTGTATGTAAGATATATGTTTTATATATGTTACTGGCCAATCAGAAGCTGTATCTGCAAACTCGACCTAGGTATGCTGCTAAACAAGTCGGAAAACCAAGATGGATGCCTACTGTTACCCGTAGTTAGCTGTTGTTAACAATTGTCAGCTGTCATTAGCCGTTTTCAGTTGTTGTTAGCCTTTGTCAGCCATTGTCAGTCGTTGTTAGCGGTTGTCAGCTGTTTTTAGCCCTGCTATCCTTCACTCAGTGTGTTTAAACGCACAGCTTAATCGGACTGAACTCATAATTTGTTTTTTTAGCTGAATCGGACTTCTCTCCTTGTCCACGTTTACATGCAGCTGAGAAAATCAAAGTATTGACCTGAATGTGTTCTCCTCCCCAAAACTAGGGGGCAATATGGATCTTTCATCGGCGCTGTTTCTGGACCTTTTTTCAAGATGTCTCCGTTCCTCGTGTCCAATGTCATTTCATTTCTGAAATGTCCATTTCAGGACAGAATGCATAACGGTACTCTCTTTGTCGTTCAAAAAGTGGACGTTTTTTCGTGCTTTAAACATGTTGCAGTTGCTCCTGAGTCGAAAGTTCCTTAAATTATAGCGCCAGTTCTTTCTGGTGTTTTTGTTTCGGGGTTACGGAAGTGTGGTACACATGCATTGTCTGATCATACTCCGACTACGGTAGCTACATGGTAGAGAAAATCAGTTTCCAATCGCATTATCTGGGTGTCGTAATCGTAGTTCTCCGACAACAATCAGAGTTCTCAAACTCAGATTATAGTTGGACTAAGGTGTTAACATGCACTTCAGTTGTCCGGTCTTAATCGGAGAAAGGCAATAATTCGGTTTTCTCGAGCTTCATGTAAATGTACTGACTGGGTACTTTATCTACACATGATCTTTTTTTATTTCATTTAACAGACTATTTCAGTTTGATTTTGTACGATAAAGTAGAAAAAAACGTGACAAATCTAGTATTTAAACAGACCAAAAGCTCAGCTGTGAATGTGTCTCAAGAATCCGCCTCCTCTACTCTTACAAAGTAGCTGGTTTTAGTTAAAAGTCTCTCTGTAAATCCGTTAATTTACCTTCGGAGTTTGCCGCAGTTTCAGTCTCAGTGTTGTTTCCTGCCAGAAAAGTTGATTTAAAACAGTTAGGCGTGCCACTGAATCATCATATAAAAATAAAACACAATCCTCACTCTGTTGTGTTAATTACGTCGCTGTAATTATTGACTAAACGCGGTGAAATGAGTGTTTTATTTTCAGGTTGAGAGCCTGATGTGCAGCAGACTCAGGAGCAGATGGTTTTGCTCCGTGTTTTTTCTGAGTGATTCAGAGATCATACAGTCATCATGACACCCGTCTATCTGACTCATCTGTCCTTTTTATTCCTGATTATAACCCCTCTCTGGTCATTGTTTTTTCTCTTCCATATTTCCACATTAGCCCACAGATGTGTGTTTATCTATTTTTAATGTCCCTCCTACCTTATCACACTTTTCAATTTGGAACTTTTGACACAAACACGCTGGAGCACTTTGCTGCAGCTTCCAAAATTAGAAAAAAGGGAGAGAGAAAGAGAGAGAGAGAGAGAGAGAGAGAGAGAGAGAGAGAGAGAGAGAGAGGGATGCAGTGATTTTCCAACTGTGGATGCCTGCGTTCTGCGTGTCACTTTGGTTAATAATCTCCTACCAATCCTTCAACTTGGGTGCACGTTCAGGACGCTTCAAACCATGAAAACAGCTGGCTTTGTGCAGCCCAACTGTCAGAGTCTCCTTTGCTGTCGATGATGGAAATATCAAACCAGTGAGCCGTGAGTGGACATCTCAATCTGAATCTCTTCAGCTCAGCTAAGCCACGGCCGTCCTCCCACTGATAATTCATGCAACATACACTCACATTAGGAGCACACTCAACCGTCTCCTTACACTCATGCAGTCGCACACAGAGAGAAAAAAACATCAAGCTGGGTAATTCTGTTACATGTGAAATGAAATGGGTTTTTTGTCATTTCTCAGACTGGGCTGATGCCCTTATATACAGCTGTCCAATAAGCATCAGCTCGGCTCAGTCAGGGACGAACTTCAGCTCCTTTTTTAAAACACCGAACAGGAAATAATAAAGACAGAAAAGACAAAACCAAGCTGGAGTATTAAAGGTGAACTTATTTGTGATGGTTTTAAGTAAAGACAGTTTAATGTTAATGTTGAACATACAAAAATGAAGATGGAATCTCAGTCTAGATGAGTCTTGATTTCCTTTTTAAACGATCGTTTCTCTGCAACAAGTTGGAGTCTGTTTAAAACAGTCTATACCAAGAAACTAAAATTAGCTAGCTGTTGTCTAGCTTATTAGAAGCTTAAGTGTTTTGAGTAGAAATACCACGTCAAAAGCTAAGAGTTTATTACAACTTTATTTTTGTCATCTAATCTTTACTTTGACTTAATTTTCTGTAAAATGATTCTAATTTTGTAACATTAAGACTTAATTTTCTTACGACTGTTTTCTGGCATCACAATGACTTTACTCGACTTTATTCGCGGGAAAATTAGTTAGTTTATTTGTTTATTCAAACAGGTTAAAAGTTAAAAAGTTAAATTACAACTTGATTTTCTTACAACTTTTTCTTGTAATAAAATTGACTTTACTTCGACTATATTCTCATAATTTAATCCAATCTAATCCATTTAATTTATATAGCAAAATTTAAGCAAACACAAGGTTTTCAAAGTGCTGCACAGCAAGTTAAAAATACAATAAATAACACAACAGAAGCACATTAGATACGGTACAAATAAAATGAGATAAAACAGTTAAATCAAATAAAAACAAATACAGTCAATAAAATCAACTAAATAAAATAAATAGTCAACCTCTTACTGGGTGTTAAAAGCCAAGGAGATAGGAGATAAAACAGTAAAATCAAATTAGAAAAAGATTTTACTCAGACTTACTTCTCATTATGAATACAGATTTCAAATGAGTATTTTACGACAGACTCTCATGAGAAAAGTGATTTTAGTCTTATTAGAAAATGATTTTACTCCATCTTTATTCTCATAACATGATGACTTTATCTTGTGACATTACCACTTGACTTATCATTCTACTTTGACTTTATTATTGTAAGAAAATGACTAAAAAAACAAATATTCTTCTTCAAACTTTCGCTCATATTTATTGAATGTGTTACATAACCTGTACCTGACTGTAGACTGTAAAACAATCTTGACCATTTATAAGACGGTTCATCTATAAAGGCCAGAAAAGTAAAAAAATAAACGTTTTGTACCTGATAAATCCTGAGCATGTCAGATTTGCTGAGCTAGTTAGTGACAAGACGTCCCAGATTTAAGAGTTTTATGAATGAGAACAAAAATGTTGCATGTGTACTAGAACAACAGTTATTACGGTAGCCGAGTAGGTAGGAAGCACAAGTAAACATGTTGCGCTCAGTCCTGACCAACATTTTTTTCATTACAGAAATCTGGTCACCTTAGGTTAGAGGTTCTGAGGTCGACTCCTCAGCCTTTAATTTGGACGTTTTTGCATTTTTCGCTTCTAGACACCAACGCTGATAGTGGTTAGTAGTTTGGTTGTACTTTACTGTGTTTTCGGTGTGAACATAGTGCATTGTGATTTGATATTCACATGTAAAAGCAGTGGACATTAACTAGAATTAGCAAAAAAAACAAACACCCTGGTCTAAACTGAAAATTGAAAGCTGGCTGAAACATAAGACACTCAAACGTGACCAAAATCAAACCCGATTCTCTAAAAACGACTTGGACATCACCAAACTAAAACATCTCGCCAAAATTAACTCCGATCTCTTCGGGGAAAGAATTCATTTTTTTTTTGTTCTCAGCTCCAGAAATGATCTCTATTCAGCGGACGAACGCTCTGACATTGATACCATCAAGTGAACGCCACATCAGACAATTTCATCTGTTCCTGCATCAAAAATGCTGCTCTCAGATGCTCTGCCAGCACGCACTCAACCTCCTCATTTATTATAATCATCTCTGAAAATCTCCGAGCAGGAGGCGGGGCGTATCATGTGAAGCCCAGTCAACATACGTGTCTAAACATTTGTGAGTGATTTGTGGAGTTAAGACAAAGAATGCCTCTCATCTATTTAGAGATTAATAACAGATAGATCAGGAGGAAATTAAAAAGACAAAAGTGGATTTATTCTCCGCAGAGAGCAGAGCGTATTTTAAGTTCAGAAAGTGGGTGGAAGGAATGCTGTGTTTGTTTTTCTTCTCCGGACCACCATTATGTGTTTTCAATATGATGTGAGTTTGAGATAGAAATTAGAGACGTCCCTGGGCCTCATCCAAGTTTAACAAAAGCTGCAAGGACAGACAACCTTAAGCCCACACAGCGCTCCGACGCTCCTCCTCTCATGGAGAATGTAATAAATAAATGAGCAGATGAGTTTGGTTCTGACAAGTGAGGGACATGGCGCTCCCCGTGCATTTTTGATAGTGATCTAATTCATCTGGCAGGCGTGGATGTTGATTAAATCAGAATGTCAGCCACTTGACAAGACAAGACGCAAGCCGGCGCGGAACCTGTTTGAACAGCGTGAGCCGTGCAAGATGGCCAGGGAGATTTGCAGCGCTGCGTGGCCGCTGAACCCGCCGCACCGCCCTGTTATCGTCGCTGCCTACAACATGTCCGGAGAGACAGACAGACAGACAGACAGATGGAGAGAGACGGCGAGGAATCCACCGAGGCCCACCTCTCCTGTTCTCTCTCAGGGTGACATCAGCCCTCTGACACTCAGGGTAAACAGAAGGGTGTGTGATGGCACGACCATGTTCCCCTTCACTCACACGCCGCCGATGCCTCCATCAAATCCGCTCGACAATCACAGAGCTGGAGGCGAGACATACGTACGTGCTGAAATCACAGGCCCCTGTAATTACGGGGAACAAAGCCTCTCTGAGCAGACTCGCTATATGAAAGAGCATCAATGGGAAATCAGAGCGAAGAATGCTCAGGGTTGGTCCGTCTGTATGGCGTACAATAGGACTATGATAAAAGGGGAGGTTCAGAGACGGGAATCGCGGAGGCAGGTTGCTATTTAACTGATGAGTGCCTCTCCAGAATCACTATATCTGTGGAAAACTATTGCTTTCCCGCCAAATCCAACACAATACCGCAGCCATCTGCCAAAATATGACAACAGACTGATGTAAACACCCTTTGGGAGATGATACACGTCTTTGGAGACGGGCTTATACAAGACATACATCCAAATTTGCTGACGTGTTTCTCTCATAATCGTCTTTATCCACAAATTTGTGCACCTTCGTCTTAAAGGCGTGGTTGACGATTGGAGAGATCGGCAATTATTACGAACCTCTTTATATGGCGATCACGGTCCTATAGTGCGATCTCCACAAAGTGAAAAAACATTGCAAAACATTGACCAATGGGAGCCATCCGTCCTGGACGCAAATTTTTCTTTTACAGGATGGTAGGGGAAAGTCCCGCCCTCCTTCGCCTCTGATTGGCTAGAAGTGCTGGGCTGTGAAACATCATCGTCTGTCGGGTTAGGGTTAGGAGATTCAGAAGTGTGATAATGTTCCGACAGCCCGTGTTTGGCTTGAGCGTGTGATGACTTTTCCAGCTTTTCTAGCCAATCAGAGGTGAAGGAGGCGGGACTTTCCCCTATTGTCTTACAAAAAAAATTGTGTCCAGGACAGCTCGTCATCCAATCACCTCGCTGTATTCGACACACCCCTCTCCCGTAGTTCCGACTCGTCCCCTCCCACTCTCCCGGCCCTCCTCGGAGCTCTGGGCGGCTAGAAGTAGTGTAGCAGCTTAGCTACAGGAGCGGTGATGGAGAAGGACGCAAAAACACTTCTTCTCGCCCCGTCGCCAAAAGTGCGAAGAAAACGCAAGCTGACAGAGGAAAGGGCGGAGACAAAGAGGAACTGTGACTGAGCGAGGAATCTAACTCGAATAAACATCGGGGGGCGGAGAAAACAGACGCCGAGACAGCAGAGTTTTTGTTGAACAGGTCATTTTTATCGCCTTTTATCGTGGCTCATGTTACATAAATAACTCTTATTAGTCTCTGACATGTTAACACAGTAGCTGTACGGGCAGCTGCAGATGGCGCTCGCTAGCAGAGCTGGCGTTTACTGCCGCCAGTCACTAACAATCCGACATGGTGAATCCTATTTGAAGCTAGCGTAGGATCTTCTGACGACCGGCTTCTTGCTCTGCGAAACAGGTTCGGGGAGGAGTTATCGTGGAGCACGGAGGTTTTTTTTTTTTTCAATTCTGCCTCATGGCTCAGTTTTTTTCAACTGCTTCTCCGATCGTCAACCACGCCTTTAAATATTTTCCACCTTTTTCGGCTCAGCTCGCAGTTTCCTCGCCCGTCTGTCTGTCTGCACGCTCTCCGTCCTGTGTGCACAAACCCCAAGGAGGTCAAAGTTACATGTAGAAAGTCACGCCGCTAATCTTCTTTGTCACTCATAAAATTTACACAACATCTCCCTCATGGAGGCCTGTCAGTTTGCTGCTGCCTGCGTCTGTCAGAGAACACAGATAATTACTCTGAGGGATCGGAGAAGGCCTCGATTATTTATGGGGCTGGATGTTTGAAAGGAAAAAAAAAACAGTATATGAGACTTTGAATGATTTCTTGTCAGTAATAATACAACATTATTATCCTTTAAAAAATCTTCGCCGCACTTCTCCTTTTTTGTCGGGGAAATACAAAGGCAGAAGTGGTAAACCCTGGAGCCTGAAGGCCTTATTTATTACCCACTAAATGAAGATTTCATTTTTGTTGAAACTCAGAAGTGGATGATGGAACTTTTTCACTCTCAGAAGAGCGATTGACCCTAAAAAAATGACACAGTCCAGTCATTAATTTAGTGGTGATGATAATATCACTCTCGTCATTTATCGTCCAAAACTCAGGCCTTGTTTAGATGAGAGCGGCGCCATTAAAACTGACGCGCCATTCCACGGTGTTTAAAAAAATCACTTGACAAGGTTAGAGAAAAGATCCATACAGATACATGAAGGGTGTAAAAACTATTTGACTCACAGGTGTGACTAACTGAGGCTGTGAATTTAACATTTTTACGACCTGCGTATCGCCAAGAAGAGGTTTGGCTTTCAAAAGATCTCACTCTTGAACCTGGTCTTAAAGTTTGTATTTACAGCCGCCAGAAACGCCATTTTTAGTTTGAAGAAAGGGCCAAAAAGCGACAGAAGTGTACCACTTTCTCTTGAATATGTTTCAGTGTAAACAGACTCTAAAGTGGAAAACATACAGGATCTGGGTTGAGTGCCTTCCAGCAGCGTAGTGCAGCCTCGGTCAGCTGGGCTCAGTATAGAGGATGCTCACAACAGGTTGTTTTGCCTTTCTGTGGTCTATTTCCTGCTAATTTGGTTTAATTCAGTGACCGTTTCAGCCTCCACTATATGTGAAAAAAAACAGCGTGATTTTACAGTTTGGGTTTTTGCTGTGCTGTTACCTTCAGACAGAGTTAGCACTTCAAAGTCCTGTTGGGGTCCACATGGATCAGGGATCGACCATCGGATTGTTCTGTGTTACTGATAAATCCATAAACAGAAGGTATTTCTCATCTACACCAACTGATATACTGTCGGGGGTTTGCATATGGTGTTTTATTTTGACATACTGGATGACATGCACGTTTTTCGTGCTTGAAATCCTGTCTAGAACGCTCTTCTCTGTGTAGATTGATGCATATTGGAAGCGTAGCGCAGCAAACATAGACTTGGCGCCTATCTTTAACAGAGCCGCGCTTGATACGCTTCTGATACGGAGCTGCGATGGAGCTGATACGCTTCCTGTATGCGATGCTGCATTAATTAGAATGGCAACCTATTTGCTGCTTGATATGTTACGCTAGGGTGACTATACATCCTCTTTAACCCGGACATGTCCTCTTTTTTGGGGGGCTGTCCGGCCTTGTCAGGCTTAGTCTGGGGAAGTTTATAAAATCCTTCAAATGTCCGTAGTTTTGTATGGAAGTTTCGAGTTTGTGTTGCGTGGACTTACTGAGTTAGAAGACACTCGATCCCACCTGGAAAACTCTAAACTCTAAAAATTATCAATGCGAGACTCCGTGTAGTTGTGTCCTCATTGATGATGTTATGTTCTCAATCCAGATCTTGTATGTTTTAGCCTTAATGCTGCAACAAAAGTCGCAATCTAGGAATCTTTCATCCCAGGAGACCAACTGGACTGGGGGCGATATATATGGAGTTTATGCCGTGCGTGGTGGACCTGGATTTGATTCCAGTCACTCCTCTACCCTCTCTATCTATGTCTTAAAAGCCCAATGTGACTAAAACCGTTTGGCGGTTTCATCCCTAAAACTGAAACAACTTTAAAAACCGACTCTGATCCACATGATGTTCAGAGTCTCATACTGGATCATGATGTTACATTATAGGCTTGATTCAGGTCACAGCTCAACGCTGATCCCGGTGACGATTCCCGCCCTGCTTCGTGGTGTTTTTGCTCACCTTGTTGTTGTGACCTCACCTGCTGTTTGTGTGTGATTCTCTCCCATGATAACAGCACCATAAATTATACTAAGCCTCGTGTGAGAGCCAGAAGAGAAAAACAAGCAGCTCTTCAAGAAGACATGACGATCACTTTACAGCGATGACTGCTTTTGATTCGGCTCCTCTTCAGATCATGAATCGCTCTTTTTTAATTTCTTAAAAAGAAAAAGACGGGGCTGTAATGTACTGTGAGGGTTTGAATCCAGGAGTAGTTTTTGGTATTTAAAGACCCGTGAACCATCTCTCCATGAACGACTTAACAAGCATCAATTAAAGTTACAGGAAGTAACCCCGGGGTCACTGTTGTATTTGTCATATTTCTATGATTAGAAATATTTGTCGGCGACCTTTTTTACTACGACAAAAACAACAGTACAACGAAATAAAAAAGTCACCTTTGAAAAGAAGAAGAATGACAAATTGTTTTACATTCTGCTGCGGCGAATAACAAGGAAACATGAATGTGGAGCACAGACGGACGGACTAGCAAGTAGATCAGATTATTAACGAGGGTGAGGTGATATGGATACACATGAGAGGCCTGACTTGATTAGCTTCAAATATATTTAGCTTTAGCTGTTATACAATAAGTGGACTAAGCCATAATCTGCTGTTTTAGTAACCACCAGGGGGCGACTCTGCTAGTTTAGTCATTGAAAAGGCTAGTTAAGATAAAAGTTTAGTTTCAGTTTGACCTCTGTTAACATTTTTCTGAAGGGATTCTGGTCTAGATTTTGCAACGGAGTATTAGGGCCACATAACAAGAAAAACATTTTTTTAGACTTTTATTTTAAACTTAAGAGAATAAAGTCGTACTAGAATCATTACTTACGAGAATAAAATCATAGCTAATGTCTATTCTAACCTGTTGTTTGTTGCTTAAATGAGCGCTGTGGAGCATTTAAATGAATTGAACTTCAGTAGTTAGGTTTCACAAACAAGGAGATAAATCCTTTGGCGTTTCAGCAACACATTGTCAGAAGTATCAGGACAAGAAATGCATCTTTTCCGCAGAAACAACCAGGCGGACTTGTAGGGAATAGCTGTTTTTCAAGTTTTCAAAGCTAGCTAAAAAGTCAGGATTTTCTCTGATTAAAATCAGCTGTTAATATTTACAGAAATACTGTAAAATTTGATGTGAAGATGCACAACAACATCTCTAAAAAGTTAGCTACGTCTCGGGTGACCATATTCTGAATCCCCCCAAAAAGTACATGACGATGTGGGGGCGGAGTCACAGAGTCGAGTGTAGTAAATTTTGAGAGTTTTTCGGGTCAGGTCGAGTGTTTTTTATGCCCTTCTTACTCAATAAGTCCATCGGCACAAACTCAAAACTTCCACCAAAATATTAGCGTAAACAATCTCTGTGCGACAGTGTTTTACTCAGAAGATGGCGCTAAATAAAAAAATGCTTAAAACTGCAGTTTCCCAAGTGTCCTCTAGAGGCTAGAAGCCACGTACACACCCATTCAAAAGAGCGAGAATAAACATTTTAACACCGAGATAAGAAGAAGCTATTTGG